GGATTTGTTCATTGACATTAAAAAGAATGACAAATTGTTGAAAAAAAATGCACAAGCATTTTGTTTGGATGCCTTACTTAAGACATGAATGGGAAAGAAAAAAAAACCTTGACACATGCTAAAATTTATTTGCAAAACTATGACGGTGAATTTCAAGAAGGAAGGTTATCCCGTTGGCATTGATACCAGATGTCCTTATTTTTATTTATATAAATATTTCAAGAAAACTTAAAGTCCATTTAGAACAAAATTGTCAAACGAATCATAACGGGAGTTAATTCCATTAAGTTATAAATTTGTGTGTTGCTTTTATCTTGAAACTATTAGAGAAAGAGACAAACTTTTAATAAAAATTTAATAACTAGCGATAAAAGATCCACAAATAAGCCAAACATGATCAAATTCGATCTATGACTCATTATTTGAGTTCATAACAACAAATGACGATTTTCCCCATTGTTTTTGTGTTTCGGGTATCATCATGAAAACTATGAAACAAAGAGAAACAAACTTAGAAATTGACAATGAGGGTCGGTTAAAAACAAAACCCTACGACAAAAGAGGTGATTTCTTCTCCCATTTGTGAACTTTCCATTTCTATATAGCAACATTCAAGCAGCACCTGCAAATTGGGTATATATCTCCAAATGATACAATATTCAAAGTCTTGCATTTCCTATCATGAGTTCCTTAAAACAGGGTTGCTGCTCATAGGTAAATTAATAAACCAAGAGTTCAAAGTGAGATCCTCCTTTCGTAAATTTAACAGACGCCATCACGAGTTGGTTGACCGTTATGGGATATCTGTTTCACAAATGACGACAGAAATGTTCCAATTGTAGTCACTAAAATTTAATCCACATTTCCCCGAATTTGACACACAGAAATAGACTTATCACCGGATTTTGCTTACATAAGGAACAAGATGGATGCCACATGTGGAAGAGGATCTGCTTACCCTTTCGGAGCACCTAAAATCACACTCTGTAATTGGTTTAAATTCGTGTTGCACAGTTTTGGGGTTCTATCTTGTGATTTGTGTATGTTGTTTGTCTATTGGCCATTTTCATTTCTTTTTTTTTTGGCCATGACGTTGTCAGTTTATTTTCTTTCGACTTATGAGTTTGAAGGTACCGTTGGTATCTTTCGCCTCTTTTATAAATGAAAAGTAAGGTCTACAAACAACTAAAATGACTGAAACCATTTGATAAGTTCATATTTACGTCGTTGTACATAGATAATGATTTGTACCAATGTCTTTTTATTTTTTTGCTTGTATCCTAAAAATATAATGGAAAATACAAAACTGAAATAACAAACAAATTAAACTATCTCTTTTATTTTTTTTTATTTTTTTTTAAACTGAAAATGTCTAAAGATTCAGAAAGGCAACAGTTTGTTCCCCACAATTATCATTCAACGCATGCATTCTTGTTGTGTTGTATCAATTTTATGCAAAAATAGCAACTGAATAATATTGACTCCTTTTAGGGTCTATTTGTATGCTGTATCAGAAGATATAAATTAAAATCTATTGAGGGGTAGGGGTAGTCAATCTGTTTTCCTTGAAAAAAAATAAAACTTGAAATACAGGTACCTTATGAATATTCTGCATCTAAGAAATGTTTCATCTTTACAGTGCCAGCTCAGAGGTGCCGGTACATTTGTTTCTTCATAGACAACAGCCAGTTAATGTGAGGTATATTATTATATAAGATATTTTTGTTGTTATTTATTTCGTCAACCAAATACGTTTTATAAATTTCAGGCATTACTAAGTCAGGATCATAATTTTTAAACGGGTTTTCGACCAAAATACCTGAATAATGAAACACTGTTGACTGTCAAAAATCAGGTGTTCTCTATGGGCTATAATTTGAAACTCACTATATTTTCTCAAAACGTTTGAAGGAACAAGTAAATCAATACAACTTAAAATAGTACGTGTGTACACAAATGTGAAAGTAAACCAAAAGGCCCTTTAAGTTGACAAGTATGATTTTGGATAATTCTAACATTATAAACGGATAAATATGGATTAAATAGGATGCATTAATAACTTCTGAATAAGGTAATTATGTTGTAACTATAGAAAATCATTCCGCATAAAAAGTAAGTGTACAAAAGTGAAAATATGTATGACTTAGTTTCGCGGAAAATATACGCCGGGAAATACGAATGAAAAGAAATGAATGAAGGTTATTATTAAAAGAATACTGTTAATAATCGTGGCACAACACTGCTCCTCTTAAAGAAAAAAGAGTTCTGTCCCTAGAATTGACATAAAATAAAATGAATATTCAAATATCAACAAAAGAAGCATACATTTATAACAAAAAAAACATTAATATATATCACAATAACTGAATAAGTCTCATTCATTAAAAGTGCAATATAATCAAACAGTTATTTCTATTTCCTTAAATCAACAACACACACGGAACTTCTGATCTTCTTCCAGGATTTGGGTTGAGTCTCGGGTTCACATGTGGTTTCTCTATTTTGGAGTCTCTCAATAAAATTTCCAAAACAAAGGCACTCAAAGGTATGTTTTTATTCTGATTCCTTAAGTTGATTTTCATGTGTTGATTTAATTTCTGCCAATTCATTCTCCAATTTTAAATTTTTTTCATCTTAAGGGTCAATATTTATATCTACAATTTTAATCTCTTCTTTTTGTATATTTTTTTGGTCATTTATACATGTAGGTTCAAATTCTGTTTTAGTCTTCCTGTTTCTCGTATTCCAATGTGCATCCATAATTTTTGGATTATCCTCAACCACTGGTTGGTTGTAGACTGGAATATCTGGTATCTATAACATCAATATTATCACTCCCACCAGATAATATTATTTCAGAATTGGTTGGAACGGTTTCAGTTAACACTACTCTTGCTATCTTGTTTTAACACCTTTCTCTCGGTGTAACATTCTATCCACTTGCCTTCTACCTGTATTCCCTTCTTGGAGTTTATTGTATTGTCTAGTTCATCTACAATATCACACCCAAGAAGAATACTATCCCCTATAGGTGCAATATACATTTCCCAAATAAAGTATTGGTTCCCAAGTTTAACATTCATGGTCGTTTATCCATGGGTCTCCGTGTTTTTCCCTGCTTCAGCTTCTACTAGCTTTCTGGTCGCTTTCTTTAATAGTGGTCTTTTTTCCTCTGGAATCCCAAAATACAGACTGCTATTTAGAACTGTTACTTTCGCTCCTGTATCCAAAACAGCTTTGGTCACCTGCCCATTAATACTTATGGGGAACTTTTATCGTTGCTGACCTCACTCTGTCTATCTGGATATCACCACTCGATTGCCCTCTGCTGTCGACATTCTCCTTTTTCACAATAGGAGTCAATACAGCAGTTGAGGTACTTTGTCCTGACGTCAACTCAGACATTACCTCTACAATCTTTGTTTCCTTCACTGTAGTCAAAGTACTTAAACCATTTTGAAGTTGTTCTTTGTTTCCTATCTGTATCCCTGAATCCAACCGCTGCCACCAATTGAAGCGCCAAACGATACTATAAATGGCTGGCAGATATTATGTAAATATCAATTATTAAAGTCACAGTATTAAACTGTTTTGAAAGTCCAAACTTTAGAAAACTAGAAACAAGATTTTGTTTAAATAAATAAAAAGCAGCTTTATTAAAAGCTAATATCTTTAATAATAGTTATTAATTGTTATAAATACATTACAATATATGTGAAATAACTTGCAGTGTGTGCCAAAATACCTGAATAATAAAATACTGTTGACTGTCAAAAATCAGTTGTTCTCTATGGGCTATAATTTGAAACTCACTATATTTTCTCAAAACGTTTGAAGGATCAAGTTAATCAATACACCTAAAAAAAGTACATGTGTACACACATGTGAAAGTAAACAAAAATGACCTTCAAGTTGACAAGTATGATTTTGGATAATTCTAACATTATAAAAGGATAAATATGGATAAAATAGGATGCATCAATAACTTCTGAATAAGGTAATTATGTTGTAACTATAGAAAATCATTCCGCATAACAAGCAAGTGTACAAAAGTGAAAATATGTATGACTTAGTTTCGCGGAAAATATACGCCGGGAAATACGAATGAAAAGAAATGAATGAAGGTTATTATTAAAAGAATACTGTATATAATCGTGGCACAACATCAAGTTAGATGATTTTTTTTTCGTTCAGAAGTTGTGTAGTTTTTTATTCTTATTTTTCATAGAGAATGACATCTCATCTCATTTTCATGCAATAACTCATTAACCGTTCAAGAATGCTTTTCACATTTATTATGCTGTTACTGATAACAAAATTGTTCCATTTTGACAATTTTCACTTTTGACGTTTACAATTTATGTTTCTTGGTTGATTGAAAATGACATTGCAAGTCGTTTCTTTTTAATAAGCTAAGGATTGTCCAATGAATGTTTTTGTCAGATAGGTTATTATTGATAACAAAATTGAGACCAGTTAAGTTAGATATTGACAATTTGTCTTTTGTCATTCAGGAATTTTTCATTAATATACAATGACACTGATGAATATACGTTTTATAAAAACCTGGTTTGCTGTCATTATTACAGCATCTGGTTTTTTATTGTGTTGACCATCAATTTTGCATTCAAGTGAAACCAAACTGTTCCTTATATTGTGTTGCCCTTTAATTATGCCATCAACTGTAACCTAACTCTTCCTTTTATTGTCCTTTACCCTAACCTTAATGTACATAGCCTTATATAAACTTGACATAAGCTGTCATTTCTAATTGTAATTTCTTCTGAAATTTTAGATTTTCCATAATGAATAGCACGGTTTCAAAAGAGGAGGAGAACTTTCTTCGTATTGTGTATCTTAACTTCAGAGTAGCCACTGGAGCATTAACAAGATTTTTTAATAAACTTCATCCGAACCTATCAGGTGATTTGAATATACCAGGGAACAAGGCAATATTGCAGCAGCTGTATTATCCCCCTCCTGGGAGGAAACGAGTTATCTTCCAAGGACAATGGAATATTCTGTATCCTCCACCAGGTAAGGTTTTCGGAGGAAACGAGCTCTTTATCTCTGGGTTACAATCAGGGTCTGAACATTCTTATTGGCTAGAAACACGATGACAAAAAATCGGAATGTTCCTGATATTAACAGTAAAATTCAATACATGTATGAACATGACAAGACCTCGAGCATGCTGAATTAAATTAGTTTTCCTTTTTCGTGCGTGTGTTTGTCTTGACATTGCCATTGATTTCAATTTTATGAAAAAACTCAATATTTATATCAATGCAGGTGTATGATAGACTGGGTTATTTTTTAAAGAAAGCATTAAGCTTATCACTTTTCTATCCGGCTGAAACTTTTTCATTTATACAAGTCTTTCTTTAGATCGGGCCAGAAAAGCCTTCCATGGTAGAAAACCAGTTTATTGTCGAAGACAATGCACAATTATGAATCCTCCTCAATAATCTTAGATAAACAGTCACATGGTTAACCCCCATATTAGTTCACGTATAATATTCCACTTACCTGGTTCCAAAATTATAAGCTATGTCTCACTACCTTTGCAAATGAGTAGTGGAATAGCTATTGTTAAAAACATGACATTCAACATCCACGAATTCCCATCAATTAAATGTCATTAACATAATGATTATTTATTTATGTAAGAGTAATAATACTCTATCGGCTATTCGCCTTTATTTATATAATAAAATTTAGAACTGCTTACATCGTTTGTATAAAAGTGACACCTTACATCCACGCATTCCAACATCAATTTGAATTCCAATAGCAAAAAATCTTATTCAGAAGACTCCGTATACATACTATTAGTATTTTATTGTAATTATATTACAAAATAATGATCATATGATGCTAGTATTACTAGACTTGCAATTGCTTTACATCAATCCTACACTAATTTAGTGTTTCGGCGGCTAAGTATTTATATTTGTATTGTGGTAATATTTATAATAAAGTTTGATTCTATAAATTTTTTCCCATATATATATATATTGGGCCCGCTCTTCAGGGATTTCCAATAAATGGGTTTAATTTTTTATTTTAGTGGAAGTTAGCAGATCTGCTGAATTCTTATGTCTTTTATATGCTAATATTGGCTTGTTCTTAAAAATCTCTCTGCAATCCGTATCGTGATTCAAAAGGTGCCAGTGTTTGAGTATCTCCTTTTTAATCTTCCTAATACAAGGATTATATTTTGTTCTCAAAACAAGTGGAATATCATTTGCATTTCCACGTATTGATTTATTCAATAAATCTTTTCTATCAATTTGTAATGCTTCATTTACAGATTGCATTATCTCAGCTTCTTTATAACCTCTTGCCATCAAATTCAATGTCAACTGTGAAAGTGCATGTTGTAAATCATTATCATTGTTAGTATTTCTAATGTAACGAATGACCACTCCTTTGATGAAACCTGAAAACACGTGTGGATTATGGCAGATTCCCCTATGGAGATATAAGAATGTATTTGTAGGCTTGAAATAAATTTTCGTATCTAATATTTTATTACACTGAAATCGTGAACCTTGTATATTTGAAGGTCAAGACACATTATTTCTTTTTCTGATATTTCGTAAGTGAATTTCAAATATTTATGATGACTATTTGCACCTCAAACAATTCTGTCAATTGACTATGATTTCCATCAAAAACTATAATGCCATCATCCATATATCTTCCGATGTAGAATAAACTTAAATTTAGACATTATGTCGGTTAGAATTTGATACATTAATATGTTGCAAACTTGTGGGGAAGGAATAGCTCCAATAACTGCACCTATTTGCTGTTTCAATAGGATATTATTGATTTCTAAAACATTGTTTCGCAGTATTGATTCAAAGAGATAAATCAAATCATCTGTAGGAAAAGATTTAATTTTGAATTGATATTTGTCAAAGTTATCAAAGGCTTTTCTTACTGCAGGCAATATTTCATCAATAGGACAATTTGTAAACATTTGACTTATAACGAAGCTACATAGTAGACATTCAGAAGGTGGCCTCAAATTCTCCAATTTTAGAATGAGGTGCGTAGTGTCCTTTAAATATGTAGTATGGGATTGCACAAGAGATGCAAGCTGACTGTCAACTATTCGTCCAATGGTTTCAGTGACAGTCCCAATTTTTGATATAATTGGTCTACCAGGGGGAATCATTTCTCAAATAGAATCAAACCTGTTATTTGTTATTTTATTGTGCATTTTAGGAAGGACATGCATATGCCCTGGTCCGTAATTTTGTTGATTGCTCTTTATTAGATACTCAAATGTGGTTTTGTCTAGAGCACTCCGTCTATGCATACCTATAATGTAAGTATTGAGATTGTATCTAAGGTTTGCAAAGTCGAAGGATGGCAATGTTATATAGTGTGGCGAATCAAGTTGGCGATATGCTTCAGATAAATAATTTAATTTATCGATTATCACAACATTGTTGCTCTTGTCAGATTTTTTAAGGATAATTGATTTGTCATTTTATAAAGACGAAATGCTACGTACACTAGTCAAGTTATCTCTAAAATCTCGAACTTGCAGTGAGGATAATTAAAATTTGATTTGATCTATATAATTTTCAAGCGTATTACAGCAAAATTGTGGTTTGTGGTATGTTCTCAATCTGAAAGGATGGATTGTGTCATTAGTGTTGTGGTATAAATATCGACATCTCATTTTCCTGCACATTTCATTAAATTCTTTTATTAATTCAGATTTTGCCATTTTATTTGATGGTGTAGGAATAAATTTTAATCCTTATGATAAAAGGAGATATTCTGCATCGCTCAAACGTCTTTTAGATAATATTATCAAATGTTTTTAGCCTGTGTTAAGTTAAAGATACGCTTTCAATGTTGCATAGCAGCTTTGATATTCAATCGGCGTTTGTTTTTGTTATCTTTACTACGATTATTAAAGCGTCGTTTAGCCATAATAAAGCGTGCTGATCTATCAATTGATAAAATTATCTATATTTTGCCTTTACACGTGCAAGCTCGAAAAATTAGATTATTAGGGCGTGTTTAAGATTGGTTAAAGCATTGTCAGAAAATAAGATTGATGTGTGACATACCTGTTTATTACTGAATAGGATCCAGAGATATCAAATATTGTAAACAAAATAAGAGTTGTATTAATAAAATATAATTCTTAATTAAATTGTTCAAATCCATTCAATGTCACATAATAACAGCTCAATAGGGCTTGTGTTTCCTCTCTGCTTTACGTGTATTATTCCTTTTGTCATGCTTATGATTGTCACTTCTCTTTCTGCTTCTAATGTCAGTTTGAAACTCAAGCAGTGTCTTTTGTTGCGCGTCCTTCATTTCAAGGAACCGTTTGTTCAATTCAGTGCGTGCATGGCTTGCACTTACACTAGCCACACCTATTATATCCCTGGCGTCTGCCATAATGCTCTTCATTTTATTGTTAATTGCATCCAGTTTGGTGTCAAGGAATTCAATAGATTTCTTTAACATTGATTGTTTAATCTCATACTGTTTATCGTCCCATTTTTTCTGCAGCTCATTGTAAATTGCTTTGTCTTTAAGGTCCGATCTGCACGATAAAGTTATTCTACAGAAGGGCGGAATAATGTCATTGTTAAGTAGATCATAGGCCATACCTTCTCTTGCTTTTGCAGCTGCTAGTCTGGTATCCATGTTTTTACGTTAATCTTTTACTGCTGATGATATTACGCAAGCGAAATCATCGCTGGTTTTCTCTTCTTCTCTCTTGTTAAGCACCTCAACGTTAGGTTTAATTTCTAAGACATTCAGAGAGAAGTCCAACACGTCATCGTCAAATGCATTTTTTTCAAACGCTTGGGTTGAGCTGACAGGGCCCTTCTCTGATAAAGACAATTTGCTCATTTTCTTGAGGAATGTTTCAGTCTGATACATCCAATTGTTTAAGCAACAGTGATGAGATGAGAAAGGCTACAATAAACTTGACCAACAAGGGATTTGAAGGGAGTGACAAATATTGCCGAATTTCCTCCGCCAGAACAATAAATCTATCAATGAATCAAGTAAGCAATTGGTTTTCTTTGTCTATTTATTTTCATATTGTACCAAGACAATAATTTAGAGGTTAAACTTTTGTATATGGATTAGTTCTGGGTGATCAACACCTCATTTTTCAAGAATGATGCTTCTTGAAGTTGTAATTGGTGAAAATCCGGATCAATCAAAATCGTAAAAAGGGATAATATTGATAATTTTATCAATTGATAGATCAGCACGCTTTATTATGGCTAAACGACGCTTTAATAATCGTAGTAAAGATAACAAACACAAACGCCGATTGAATAACAAAGTTGCTATGCAACATTGAAAGCGTATCTATAACTTAACACAGGCTAAAAACATGTGATAAATTTATCTCAAAGACGTTTGAGCGATGCAGAATTTCTCCTTTTATCAAAAGGAGAAAATGTATTCCTAAACCTTCAAATAAAATGGCAAAATCTGAATTAATGAAAGATTTTAATGAAATGTGCAGGAAAATGAGATGTCGATATTTATACCACAACACTTATGACACAATCCATCCTTTCAGATTGGGAACATACCACAAACCACAATTTTGATGTAATACGCTTGACAATTATATTGATCAAACCAAACTTTAATTATCCTCACTGCAAGTTCGAGATTTTAGAGATAACGTGACTAGTGCCGAGAGACGTAGCATTTCATCTTTATATAATGACAAATCAATTATCAATAAAAAAATCTGACAAGAGCAACAATGTTGTGATGATCGATAAAATAAATTATTTATCTGAAGCATATCGCCAACTTGATTTGCCACACTATCTAAAATTGCTATCCTTCGACTTTTCAAAACTCAGATACAATCTTAATAATTACATTATAGGTATGCATAGAGGGGGTGCTCTAGACAAAACCACATTTGATTATTTAATAAAGAGCAATCAACAAAATTACGGACCAGGGCATATGCCTGTCCTTCCAGAAATGCACAAGATAGATCCAATGGTTCTAAATAGAATAACAAATAGCAGGTTTGATTCTATTGAAGTAACGGACCTCATTCTAAAATTAAAGAATTTGAGACCCCCTTCTGAATGTGTACTCTGTAGCTTCGATATAAGTCAAATGTTTACAAATTCTCCTATTGATGAAATATTGCCTGCAGTAAGAAAAGCCTTTGATAACTTTGACAAATCACAGTTCAAAATTAAATCTTAACCTACAGATGATTCGAATTATCTCCTTGGATCAATACTGCGAAACAATGTTTTTGAATTCAATAATATCCTATGGAAACAACAAATAGGTGCAGCTATTGGAGCTATTCCTTCCCCACAAGTTTGCAACATATTGATGTATCAAATTCTAACCGACATAATGTCTAAATTTAAGTTTATTCTACATCGGAAGATATATGGATGATGGCAATATAGTTTTTGATGGAAATCATAGTCAATTGACAGAATTGTTTGAGGTGCAAATAGTCATCATAAATATTTGAAATTCACTTACGAAATATCAGAAAAAGAAATAATGTGTCTTGACCTTCAAATATACAAGGTTCACGATTTCAGTGTAATAAAATATTAGATACGAAAATTTATTTCAAGCCTACAAATACATTCTTATATCTCCATAGGGGAATCTGCCATAATCCACACGTGTTTTCAGGTTTCATCAAAGGAGTGGTCATTCGTTACATTAGAAATACTAACAATGATAATGATTTACAACATGCACTTTCACAGTTGACATTGAATTTGATGGCAAGAGGTTATAAAGAAGCTGAGATAATGCAATCTGTAAATGAAGCATTACAAATTGATAGAAAAGATTTATTGAATAAATCAATACGTGGAAATGCAAATGTTATTCCACTTGTTTAGACAACAAAATATAATCCTTGTATTAGGAGGATTAAAAAGGCGATACTCAAACACTTGCACCTTTTGAATCACGACACGGATTGCAGAGACATTTTTAAGAACAAGCCAATATTAGCATATAAAAGACATAAGAATTTAGCAGATCTGCTAACTTCCACTCAAAAAAGAAATTAAACCCATTTATTGGAAATCCCTGAAGAGGCGGGCCAAGAAATATATGGGAAAAAATTTATAGAATCAAATTTATTATAAAAATTACCACAATACAAATATAAATACTTAGCCGCCGAAACACTAAATTAGTGTAGGATTGATGTAAAGCAATTGCAAGTCTAGGATTATTAGCATCATATGATCATTACTTTGTAATATAATTACATTAAAATACTAATACTATGTATACAAAGTCTTCTGAATAAGATTTTTTGCTATTGGAGTTCAGATTGATGTTGGAATGCGTGGATGTTAGGTGTCACTTTTATACAAACGATGTAAGCAGTTCAAAATTTTATTATATAAATAAGGGCGAATAGCCCATAGAGTATTATTACTCTTACACTTACATGAATAAATAATCATTATATTAATGACATTTAATTGATGGGAATTCGTGGATGTTGAATGTCATGTTTTTAACAGTTTTTTTTTAATATCGTGTCAATTATTTATTAAACGGAAATTTACGAAAAATTGAAAAACAATACAATATATGCCTTGTATATAACATGCAAAAAAGATCATCAATTAAATGGTTTTTACGTGTTATACCACTAGGACAGTGGACATAATAGTTAAATACCAACCGATGCTCAACCTATGATCAGATATATCTTAATACCACAAAGTTCAAAAACAAAAACAAAAATGATATACTATGGTTGTCAATCAGTGTCTATGATACTTTTATACATTATGAATATGAATACGGATTCCTCCATGATATGACGAATGTCGCTTTTAATTCTTAAAAATTAGTGATTGTCGAAAATTAATATTTGAGACATGTCACTGTACTTTAATATTACATTAGCGATGACAGAGACATATTCAATACTACATGTATATATGTGTTTGGCGATGACAAGCGATTGACGTGGTTTCTACCTTCATATAATTTGTTATCTTAACTTGTATGTCTTTATGTTTCCAACCACTGAATACAAAAAACTTATTTGTTACAATCAGTAACACAATTACCGAACTCGAAGGTAAATTCAAAAAGGGGAAGTCTATAAAAACTGACAAAATCAAACGTTAATAAGCATGAGAGGAACTGGCAAACAACTCTCATATTCTTGACGTGATACAGGCATTTTCCGACAAAACTGATGGATTAAATCTGGTTTTTAAACTAGCTAAACCTTCCACTTCTATGCCAGTGGTTTATAGTGCCGTTATATTGACGGAATTTGGTGAACAACCCAAACAAACAAAATAAGTTAATCTGACAATAATTGAGACCCAGCAGCCAAAACTGTAAACATACATCATAAAAATACAACATAACTGAATTAAACATTCAAACAAGTAAATAAATCTAACAAAGACGTCAACAAAAAATGCAGTTGATAGAAAATTGACAACGACGCCGATCAAAATGTTATTAGATCGAACTTGTCTTCAACAACTATTAATATATGCGTTTTGTATGCCTGACATGTATTTTTCATCGTTATTTAATTTATTTGATTTGTATTTATAGCTCATTATTTGCAATGGAACTTTTAAAAGAAATTTTTACAATACCCATAGTTTTCTCAAGCATTTTTGAACCTTTTCGCCATTTTCTGTTATGTCAGCTCTTTACCGTTTGTATTCGGTGGCACAAAAAAAAATACTAATTAGTTAGTTATTTTCCTGATAGAGCAACACTACTGACCTGTTCAGCATTCTGTATAAGAAGAAGAACAGACAAATATAAACCGTACGTAGATATCAAAATTGATGATTTTGAAAGATAGTTCTGTATTAACGACTGAAAGAGAAAATGCTGGCACTCTTATCGCGTAGTCATTGTGTACTAAGCTATTGTTTTCATTTATAATATGATACAATCATTCTGAGTTACCAATTTTACTGATTTATGATACCGACATATAATTTCAAAGTACAAATATGACATGTATTGATTAATACGAGCAAACATTATTGTTAAATAAAACATCCTGAACCATCATAACTACTAACTCCTTTTTTTAATATTTTTTTTTTCTAATTATAAAATGTTTATAAATGTTCAATTAAGAATGGACATGTTTTAGACATAGTAAAATATCTGTACCTTATCCCGGTCTCGTTAAAATAAGTATTATACAGTTCATTATCAAGGTTAATATGAACACATAATATACAATTTACAAAATAGTTAAGTTTTGTTTTGTTACAACATATAAGAAAGAACACTGATTGATATTGTATATTCGGAGTAGGTTTCTTGAATGAAAAAAAACGAAAAACAAAAAACAAAACAAAACACACAAATAAAATTTAAAATTCCTCAGACCTAATGCTTTCTTTATTATAAGCATTCATATAAATGACCAGAAAATGTCTATGTAAGATTTTGATGTGGAATTTTTTTTTCTGTAAACAACATAAATTAGTACTTAAATTACAAGAATTTGAAATGTTCTTTGTGGTTACTACAATAAGTATCCAGCGACTGTTCAAGAAGTTATTGGTATGAAAAATCTACAAAAACAAATAGCTCACCGTATGACATATATGGTCTTGGCATAAGGTGTCATCAGTTCCGAATTGTCCGATTATTTTTACCAGGAGATTTACAAAAATAGACTTGATTTCCATTGATATTACTTATTTCTATAACAGTGGACTACAATTGCACTAGCTAGTAAAACCCCAAAAGAGGGCGCTTAAAATTACTAAAGGGAACAGTCACGTGGTGATACTTTAATATCGGATACAATGTTACAATAGAGACGACAGATATCAACGATACATTAAAAACGAAGACAAACAAGCAATGCGAGGCAAACAAAACCAAAAGACAATTTACAGTTAAAACACTGACATATTCAATAAATTGTCATTTATAGTGGTTAATTATTTATATATATTTTTTATTACAGTCTCAATGACAGTTACCTCAACAAATTTAGACCCGACTATATGTATGGTTATGTGCGTTTTTTTGAAAATTGCTCCATTATTCGCGTAACATTGTATAATTAGTTCGATATAATATATTTCTGTTACAGGATCACCAGCAGTAACTTCAGCAGATTTAGACCTGACATTAATTGTTTGTCTACTGCGCAACATACCTCCAGTGTTGGCTGCACCTGTGAATGGATTTGACAATTTACCTTCTCTCCATGACATAAGCGACGGAGCAAACATTGCACGCTTGAAATATTATAAAAACTTTCTTGTGTCACATTCGAAAGATGGTACATTATCTAATCCAGACTTTGTTAGAATATGGATTGAATTAGAACAGGTATTTATATTTGTCTGCTGTTAAAAACAAAGGAGAAGGTATTGACGAGCTTTTATATCTCTCTTGGTTATTATTTGGTGAAGTCATCATGTTCTGTTGCCATATCGTATTGCTATTTCAAAGACTTTCCATAAGCACGAGATATTACCATGGACAGAAGTTATTTTTTGTTTTGCCTATTCATTTTCCAATATATTCCTTATACCATTATTTTCCTTTCATGCATTGAAACAAAACCCACTTCCATATTGACAGCTTAATTGGCAGGCTAGACAAAGTGATTTATCGTACCTCCTATACATTTCTAGGAATATGATTTGTTGAAAGCAAGCGCGTGGAAACCGTGTATATTTCATATGGGGTTAGTAGGCGGGCCTTATTTCAATACACGGTTAGTAGTGGTGTTACGTCTCTTTGTAAAAACAACATGGTGTTGAGGAAACATCAAAAAGGTTTCAACAGACGAAGAAATTGAGTATGAACGATTGAAATAAATTCATCAAACACATTTAAAGCTAATAAGTTGTTATTGTTGACATTTGTTTTGGGAAGTAGGTTCGTAATACTAAGTAATAAAAACGTAATCACTTTGATATGCCACTAGTCTAAATACCACACGTTAAGATAGTTGGTAAGATAAATACGTTAGATAGTGTCCTAGTGACCTAATAATTTCGCTTTTATCCCATATGGAATTTACTGACCCAATATATATCGTATTAGGTCACTATCACACTATGTAACTAATAATATTGCGTTCAATTGAACACTCAGTGATCTCGTTGCAATTGTAAGGGGAAATAATTGCTTTTATCCTAGCTACTTTTTTATGCTGTTGACAGCAACAATTTTACACTTATTTCACATACTGGTGGTAAAGTTTATTCTGGGTCTTGGGGAATTTTTATGAAAACTTAATTTGTGTTTGCAAGAGTTGTGAACAGGGAAGATATCCTGGTTCAAGTTCCTAATTTCAAGGCTCTTACTGGAAAACAAAGTTTGTGCTTAATACCAAGAAACAACAGAGATTGTTTTCATTAGTGAGAATAAAAAAGTAACAAGAAATATAGAGATATACTTTAAAGATGTATCCTCTAGGCAGTTCTTAGCAAATCTAATGTAACAGTTGTGATTTGTCAATGTTCAGTTATGCTTATTTTAATTTTTCCTAGAACACAAAACAGAGTCTCAAATTTTGTAAGCTGTTTCGCCTGTGAAACATGTCTCCAATTATGAGAGATAGGGATGATAAACCGTGAAACACTACGGCAACAACTTTTTGAAAACTGTATTTCGTATAAGAAATATTTTCAAGTTCAACCTGTTTAATTCCTTGTCCTCAGTTTATGGATGCGTTATACGAATTGTATTGTTTAAGTACATTACTCAGATACTTTAAGAATAGGTGAACTGTATTTTGCATAATTGGTAGATATGCATGTTTATCTGTTATAATTCATCTGACCTTGACCTCATTCTCGTGATTTTTTGATGGTCAACTGAAATTGTGTGGTAAAGTCCATTTTCAAGTGACCGTGAGGACTAGGTCATATATATTTGGGTTTATGGAATGAATGCTAAGTGAACATAACATGGCAGGTTGAATTTGACGTTGATCTCAGTTTATGGTTCATTGGTCAATATTAATGTTTCATAAATTAGTTCCTTTTATATGCAGAGACTACTAGCACTGGTCACCTTTATTTGATGGATATAATGAGTGTAAGGTGTTAGTTTGCTAGCTACTGATTTGTTGTATCGTGACCTCAATTTTATGTCCATTAGCTGATATGAAGACATTGTCTTGTCTGTGACAAAAGATCTAGAATACGAGATATAGGGATACTAATCTGACCTGAATGGGTTTTTTTATTCTGTATACCGATGCCTTATGTCGTGAATGTTCTGTCTTTCGTGTGTCCATTTTCTTTGAGATCATTTTCAGGATTAAGAGACTGCTGTAAAACAAAACATCAATGTTTTTATCGATTGATTTTTTGGGATAATTGAGAGTATTAAGAACACAATATTTGGTATAAGCAATCCTCATAAGTTCTTCCAGTCACTGTGCATCTAATGACATTTGCCTATGTTCATGTATCAATGATAAAGTTTGAAGTTTCGTCATGTCATCTTTCTCTCAAAAACTAAAAGTAATAGATCAACAATATTTGAAATAGTTGTAAAATATGCATGACTATTAAACAGGTGTTATCTGACCTTGACTCCATTTTTATGTAACTATTTATCTTAAAGAAATATTAATATGAAATCAATACTAATCAGTAATGCAGTGGATTTGGCATTTGACCTTATGCCATTATTTTGCATCCGTCGTCGTTGTTACTTTTTTTTAATCTTATTTTTTAATATTAAACACATTTCTACAAAACTGGAGCTGTGAAATTCAATGCTATCTAGTATAAGTTTAATGCTTTTATTCCTGTTAGTCAATCAAAATGGCCGTCATGGCCAAAAAAGAACAGAAGGATACTATATATAGAAATAAGAAGATGTGGTATGAGTGCTAATTAGACAACTCTCCATCTCAGTCAGAAATTGTAAAAAGTGAATAATTGTAGGTCTTTGTACGGCCTTCAACACGGAGCCTTGACTCACACCGCACAGTAAGCTATTAAGGGCACAAAATGAGTAGTGTAAGACAATTCAAACAGGAAAACCAATGGTCTAATCTATATAAATAAACATGAAAACGAGAAACATTTATGAACCACGTCAACAAACGACAACCACCTAACGATATCCTGACTAAGGACAGGTGAATACAAATGTATGCATTAATTGTCTTATGTATTGAAAACCATGATAGATAAGAACAAATTTGTCGGGGCAGAAATGTTCATGATCTGGCTACATTGTCACTGATTTAATGTCTCTTAAAGTGGCTTATTGGACGAATTCTTCAAAGTTTTTGCTCTAAAATCTACAAAAACATAAAAAACCATTACAGAGTGACCTTGTTCATTAGCATTGTTTAGTCAGGTTTCGTGTTGAAATCAAGTTTCTTAAAACTAAAAACAAATAGGCACATGGACATAAACAGTGAGTCATGTTTGACACTTGTGTATTTCATGCTGTAATTCAGTTCTAAATCGTTCTTATTTTTCAGGCCATCACAGGTATTGATAATTCACAAGTAACTGTTGTAAATTTAAAAGATGCAGAAACAAAAATGCTGGATAGCTCAGTGGCACAACTGCTGTCAATTCAAATACAACTCGACACAAAAGTTTCTAATTTGCAAGATGAGTTGGAACAAATTTCTATACATATTGAGAAAGATGTTCAAGAAAAGAAGGAACTAAAAATGATAGCAGATGATCTTGATGAAAGAAAGACAATAAAGCGAGAAAATCTAGAATTAGACGTTAAAGAATGTGAAGAAAATGTAGATAGGGTATATGCACGACAGAATACCATGGAAGAACAAATGAATGAAAGAACGGAAATAATTGGAGAAAAACTAGACAAATTATATAATTTACAACAGCTTCTTGCTTCACAAATTACTAGAATTGAAACCATTGTCAAAGAAAGCGAGAAGGAAAAAGAAACCTTGGTAAATGATGTGCAGTCATTGTGCAGTCAGATTCAAGATAATATCAGCAAAACTAAGGAAAGAATAGACGCACTTGAGACAAAATCAGAAATTCTTCAGGAAGTGCAGAAAGACGTAGACATCCTTAAAATAAAATCAGGTATATAAGTATGATTTCAACGAAATTCACTTATAATAATGGGGTCTGTTGAAATATCCAGGTACTCCATATTAGTTTCTACACATACACAATGCATATGACAATAAAAAAACAATCAACTTGACAAACAGTCAAATAAATGCATAACGTTGCTGTGTTTTTGCGATGGTTTTGGATTTCTTTTTGTTTAACGCTGGTATCTATGATGAGTTTATTATGGTCATTACATAGCTATAGTACTTCTTTGGGTTGAGAAAGAACTTCATTTCTGAACATGAATAGTGGATAAAAAGTAAAATAAGTACAAGTTCGTTATAAGAATAGAAAAAGGCAACAATAGTTTGCTTATTTTTAATTCTCGTAAATTGATAAGAAAAAAACAAATCATGGTAAGACATATAAACTGAGGATGGACTCCAAAAGGCGCAGAACTGGGTGCGTTTACAAGTAAGCGACTCCTGCAATGCTTGTCTCACCAGTCGAGCGAAATTATACTTAAAACAAACTTCATTTCGACAGTCGATTTTATTTGGATGAAACATTTAAAATCACTTAGGCTGTGTAACATTGTTGATTAACTTTAAATATTTCAGAATGCATAGAGGCAGAAATAAAAAAACAAGATGAAGATCATATTCCAAAGAATATTCGAGGTTTGATCATTTTAATGTTATCTAGTCTTGATTGTTAGAAAAACTCCATTGATACCAAGATGTTAATGATAGTCTTGTTATGTCAAGTAGTTAATTAATCAAAAAATAGCCGACTTTCAGTTTTATATCCCAGACGCGAGTTTTATCTACATGTAACCCATATTGTATATATTAGACTCACCAATCAATCTGCTCAAATACGAAGTTGTAGAGCATTCAAAACCAAAACTATGACATGCAATTGAAAAACGTGCCGGACTATTTCCTTGCGATTCATACGATAGTCTGATTAGACCGTTGGTTTTCCTGTTCGAATTATTTTACACTAGTCATTTTGGGGCCCTTTGTAGCTTGCTGTACTGTGTGTGCCAAGGCTTCGTGTTGAAGGCCGTAATTTGACCTATAATTGTTTACTGTTTTACACATTGTGACTTGTATGGATAGTTGTCTCATTGGCACTCATACCAAATCTTCTTATTCAAATTTCCAATACGCTAATATTTTGACACTTTTTTGGGATAAGTTCTTGACATAACTGCTAAATCATATATACGACTGAATACATTTTTTTAGATATGTCATACTCAATTGAACAACAAACATAATTTTCTTTTTTTTTCTCTTAGTAACCATATACATTGAAATGTTTCCGCATATTCTAATCCTTTTTACAAAACAAAATTAAACATAAAAAGCCTAAGTAGTTGTCATTGCAACCACGATATTTTATGTGGAACACGATACATTTTGATATATCTCAAATGCAAGAACATTTTTACAAAGTGTGAACCAATTCTGTGACATGTCATCACCATTTTGATGATTACCAAGAATTACTCTTAAAAACTTCCCTTGTTAATAAAATTTAGTAATCATGTAATAAAATATTATGTTTCATAATTTCATTTAGAATATTTTGTTGTATAATTTGAATAAGTTGGTGATTCATGCAACATGTACAATTAGTGTCTCCTCCATGACAATAAACATATAACTCAAATGTTGATACTAGTCTGATATTCAGGATGGCTGTCACTGTTGGACACAGTTTAACATAGAACACTTTGGAAAAAATCAACTGAATTATTGTGTCAGAAAACAGTGTCAAACATTCAAACAAACTATCCACACTGATATATGTCCACACTTGTATAATTTGAATGATTAATTCATATGGTGGTAAAATTTAACAATCAGGGTATTGCGTTGTTATAGCCAAACATTGAGAATAAAAGGATAAAAAAGCAAATATTAATCTTAATCAATAATTCAGGCAATCCAGTGTGACTATAACCAATGCCAAATATAAAATGTATCTGAATTTCAATGACCAGGAACATTTAAACTTTTAAGTGAAAAAAAATAAAAAGAAGTTGAATCCAAGATATCCTTTTTCGCATAACTTTGATGGAACCGTGTTTCGCTTTTCGCTTTTTTGTTTTTAGAAATAAAAAAATAAAAAAAACACACCTCTGTTTCAATCTATTTTTAGATTCTATTATTGTTACTAGTAGAGGGGATATGTGTATTGATGACCTCGTTATCAGATGGACAAACTTACCAACACGTGCATCCTATGTATTTTAATCAGCTATTATTTATTGTTTTCGAACCATATTCGAAAATCTATTTAATATTCTTATATCAACAAGTAATTGACATGGATATACGTTTCTTTGAAATAGTGATTGGATATTGTTTATTTGATTAAATAATGATTATCTCCTCAATTATCTCATGTCCAAGTGTGTGCCATGGGTAACGCCCAGGTAAACAAAGACCTTCGCCATATGATCCAGAACTTTCGAAACTGGAATTAAACTAGACTTCGTGCAGAGCTGAGAACAAAGAACATTAAATGCCTAATTAACGCTAGGAGAATGGCGTATTGGCTTTAGTTCGATTTTTAAAACCTTCGAGTGTCGATAACATAATCTGCGGCCATGACAGCATGTTAGAAGTTACATCACAAATGACAAGTGCGCAATCCCACAATGCACCGCAAAAATGTAAACAATAACACATTATGGGGATATAGAACGGCAATTTAGTAGACTTAGCGTGTAAACTTTCGTCCAATGTTTAAATCTACGGCTTTGAATAGTAAAATAACTGTTTTGTCAAACAATATTCCAAAAATGACAGTATCATTACAAGTTTGCCCATACTCTTAAGACCGCCAGTTTTGGGTCGACCAGTTTTAACTACTTTTGTCGGCGGCAGTCAACAATTCCAAACACTACTCCTGCTACATCAGTACTAATCACAACTCCCAGCTCTACAGGCAACTATTCGATTGTGTCGGCTCTTCAACGCTTCAGGCACTGTCTGTGAATAAGCATGTTCCTACCGCCCAGGCTCGGGAAGTCAGTGATCGTGATACAAGATGATACATACGAACCTGTTACGGTTATTCTGCAGAATCACTGCCTTTGGTGGAAACTTTTCGCCTCAACGTAGACAAAATATTACAGCAGCAACCCTATGACTTTATTTAACCAAAGAACATATATTTACTTTATTCAATGGAGAAGCCTCCTTTTTTACCGAGCGGAATTAGTAAATCACTTAAGTATGAGGTCAACTCCGTACCAGAAGAAGAATAAGAAGAGGTCGTCATACGGTAATCATCAGTAGACAGGTGTGAATTCAGTAGTTCAAGATATAGTCGTTGCAACTATATATAAATTCCGCAAGTCCTTCCAAGCACGATCATCACTTGTCCAACAGCACCGTCGGCACTCTTAGATCATACATAACACATTGGGGTTTACCATAGGATATACATATATACGTCTGCACTTCTTAAGGATATGCAACTGAATAAATTGTATTGGTGGAAACTTTGCCTTTGTTAAGTATAAGTATTATTTATGTATTTAAATGTGTTTGGATCTCCCCAGTTCGTTTGTTCTCTTAGAAAAGATTACAGGAAAGTAATCTTTATTTAATGTCGGGTTGCTTATATACAATAACAAGGAACATGAGCTCTTAAAAACGACTGCTATGATAAACAAAACATGCATCTTCTTATATCTATGTAATAACAGCAGATACATAGTATAAGTAATAATATGTATTTATATGTATTATATTTCAGCACATAGTAGCACACAGTATTTATATCTCTATTCTAGATTGCTCTAAACCTGCCGGCATCTCCCCAGGTGGACATTTCATACAGAAAAGTAATAAATATGTATTATATTTCCGGTCGTTCATTCTCTTTATATATATTGCACTACGTCATTCATTCTATTTATATATATTGCACTACACCTGCTGGATCGCCACAGGTCATTCATTCTCTTTATATATATATTGCACTACACCTGCTGGATTGCCACAGGTCGTTCATTCTCTTTTTATATATTGCACTACGTCATTCAGTCTCTTTATATATATTGCACTACACCTGCTAGATCGCCACATGTCATTCATTCTCTTTTTATATATATTGCACTACACTTGCGGGATCGCCCCAGGTCATTCATTCTCTTTATATATATTGCACCACACCTGCTGGATCGCCACAGGTCGTTCATTCTCTTAATATATTGCACTACGTCATTCATTCTCTTTATGATTATTGCACTACACCTGCGGGATCGCCCTAGGTCATTCATTCTCTTTATTTATATTGCACTACACCTGATGCATTGCCACAGGTCATTCATTCTCTTTATATATATTGCACTACACCTGCTGGATCGCCACAGGTCGTTCATTCTCTTTATATATATTGCACTACGTCATTCATTCTCTTTATATATATTGCACTACACCTGCTGGATCGCCACTGGTCGTTCATTCTCTTTGTATATATTACACTACGTAATTCATTCTTTTATATAAATTGCACTACACCTGCTGGATCGCCACAGGTCATTCATTCTCTTTATATATATTGCACTACAACTGCGTGATCGCCCCAGGTCATCCATTCTCCTTATATATATTGCACTACACTTGCTGGATCGCCACAGGTCGTTCATTCTCTTTATATATATTGCACTACATCATTCATTCTCTTTATGTATATTGCACTACACCTTCGGGATCGGCCCAGGTCGTTCATTCTCTTTATATATATTGCACTACACCTGCTGGATCGCCACAGGTCGTTCATTCTCTTTATATATATTGCACTACACCTGCTGGATCGCCACAGGTCGTTCAGTCTCTTTATATGTATTGCACTACGTCATTCATTCTCTCTTTATATATATTGCACTACACCTGCTGGATCGCCACAAGTCATTCATTCTCTTTATATATATTTCACTACATTTGCGGGATCGCCCCAGGTCATTCATTCTCCATATATATATTGCACTACACCTACTGGATCGCCACAGGTCGTTCATTTTCTTTATATATATTGCACTACGTCATTCATTCTCTTTATATATATTGCACTACACCTGAGATCTCCACTTATATCTCTCTGGAGTATTGTAGGACTGCTGGGACTTCCCAGGTCGTTTTTTCTTTTCTTTTGTTTACAGTAAAAATACAGATACAGGTACAGATACAGATACAAATATAATAACCTATCGTATTTGGATGCAGACTTCAGAACTATATAGCACCGGAATATAAAGGAAAGTAATACCTTGATTCCTGTCATCATAGTATTAATGTGTTAAAACGACAGTCACGCTACTATGAACTTTTGTTAAGCATTAAGCGCAACAAACTTGTATCAAATCTACAAGTTTGTATCATTTCTGAATATGGGCATACATGGTTCCATGAACTGTCTTCCTACTATCAGAGAGAACCATTTGATATAATAACACACTGAAAGAACCAAAAAGAATTGCAATTATATATAGCTATGATTTGATATCATTATTTGCTTGTCATAATAACTACACCACATCAGGGATCGACCGATTACCTTTTTTTTCATGGAAAAGATAAAGCAACTTACATGAAGGCTTCTATGAACAGGCCAACATTACATCAGCCTTATTACAGTGTGTGTACAACTTGTTATCAACAGGAGTTTTCCCCACGTTTCATAGATAATGTTACACTGTGCATTTTAACAGCTTTCGTTGGTGCCCTTTTGATGTAAAATATTCACTTCTGGAATTAGGGATGCAATTTAAATTGCCTAGTGATCAGTGATGTTGATACCAGTGTAGAACTTTACTTTTTGTAAAAAAGAATAGAATACCAAAGACTGATTCTTTTAGAACAGGAGTGAATGTTACAATTAAAGAACAGTTTTGAACCAGTTGTGACCATGAATAAGTAAAAAAAAAAAAGGAAAAAAAAAACTTTTAGAATGGGAGTCGTATAACTTTTTCCTCCATTCTTTGAAGTGACTTTAATGCAAGGCGTTTATTAATTATTTTGACAACTTAGTTATGCCTTGTTTATAACATAAGCAGTTTCGATGTCATTCTTGAGACATGGTCCAAAAAGATGTTTGTGTTTAAGATACAGCAGGACTGATAAGAAGTTTATCTGTAAAGATCATGATAAATGTATCTTTGAGTCTTTGTCATAGTTTTCATATAACTTGTTTATATTTTTATATGGCATTATTTCTTGGGGGCTTTCACTCATTCATCATTATGAATTCATTCATTTGGCCTTTGTAATTCAAAGTGTATTATACTCCCCCAATTCAATAATACATCAGATGGGTTAATTCCTGACAGGTCGGTAATTTCTCTAGTCAAGTAGCTCACACCTGCCGGGATCGCCCCAGGTCACATTTCATACAGTTAAGTTTGCTGCAGGGATCTCCCCATCATAGTTATGTATTTATGTTAAACTTTTTTGTACAAGTATTTACATAACTTGACCATTAGACATTTTCAATTTGCATGTATTTTATTAGGTTTAAAAAATTTAAAAGTTAAATTTTTAAATGAATGAGTAGCCCCAAGAAAGCCAATAATGTAACATTTTAAGTTATAGAAATGTTTATTGTTATGTAATGGTATTTAATTTAGATAATGATGTTTAGAATTATGTTATATAATAAAAATTTTCACTAAAAATGTGTTGTGTATAAACTGAAAGTGTGTACCCACTGTCAATTTACATTATGGTTTATCTATTTTTTTCGTTTCTGCTAATTACCGGGAAAAAACATAAGTTAGAGTGATGATTGTACAGTGTATATACTTCTTGACAGGAATTCACTGACCATAGCATTACTTGGATCATTGATCATTGCTAAATTTTGATAATTATTCAATACCTCGAGTCAAATTAGTAATACATTTAATAGATCAATACATGTTGTAATCATAGTAAAGTGTAAAAGAGAAAGTCCATATAATAAAGTTGTACTTGACTAAGCCCTCTTTTTTCATTGTTAATCATTCATCACCATCGTGTTGATGGTAAGATCAGTTCTGAAGTATTCTCATCTGATCAGTTCATTTCATTGTAAGGTATGCATGACATAGATATCATTTTAATTGATGTTTTTTTTTTTATCAATGTGTCTGTGATTAACATAAACATAAGGAGATGTGGTATGGTTGCTACTGAGAAAACTATCCTTCAGAGTTCAAATAAAGAACATAAAAGTAATTAGAGGTCACGGTAAGGTCTTCAACAATGAGAAGATCTCATACCATATATTAAATATGTATCT